CCTACCTTCTCCTTCTCTCTCTCTGCATGAGTGGTTCTCTCTCTCTTTTGGCGTTGCGGACTTCCTTGGAAGCTCTCATTCCCTTAGGTTAGGTGCACATGCACTCCCTTCATTGGATGCTTCTCATCCATAGAAACTTCCCCCAAGATTCCTTGGACTATCCCATCTCCCTTCCACCTGGAATCAGGACTGGCCTTTTTTGGTGGCTTGATAGTGACTTGACCATGGTGGGGTTCTCATTCCACTGCCTCATACTGAGTGTCATCTGTGTACAAATGCTTCCTTGGTGGGCTTTCCTCAATTCCGAGATTTTGGGTCGGTATTCAGTTGAAGAGGCTACTACTCTCAATTTCCACATCCTGGAATCTTTCACAATTCCTTGGGCTGTGTATCATTTCCTCCCATTTCTGTGGGGGTGGGTGGTTATCGTTCATTCGGACAATTCCACTGTTGTCAGCTATATTATCAAGTAAGGAGGAACCTAGTTCACATCTCTGTGTTTTCAGACTCTGGATCTCATGTAATAAATCACCAACAACACATTAGTGTTCTGGTGTGTCATATTCCCTCAGTTATGAGTCTTGTGGCCAATTGCTTATTATGACCCAACCAAGTTCTCACCACAGGGTGGTTCCATCATCCTCAGGCTTTTTTGTGGGTGTGTTCTCAACAGGGAACTCCACATTTCCCACTCCCTGGAATGCCAAACTTCCAAACTTTTTGATCTCCAGTTCCTCACCCCTCAGCTCTGGGGGTGGATGCTTTCAGTCCAGATTGGAGGGGTCTTCACCTATGTGCCTATCCTCCAATTAGACTCTTTGCCTGGGTTTTTCCTTTATTCAGATAACTCCATGTTTTCTCTTGGTTGCTCCGTATTGGCCAGCTCAGATGTGGTTCCCTTTGCCCTGGCCCTTATTCGAATTATAGCCCATGCTCTTATCTCTGTCCTGATTGCTCCTCTGACAACCACAATCAGGCTTTTTCATCCTAACATCACTACACTCCAGCTTCACATGTCTTTTGTTCAATCCCGTGCCTCAACTCTTGGACTTGCCCCTGATGTAGCATCTTTCCTTGCCTTCCTCCTTGTCTATGTACCAGAGGATTTGGTGTTACTTATCCTATCCTTCTGTTTCTTACCTAACCCAATTCTACATCTGGTTGTTTGTTCAGGATTTGTCCATTTCAAATGTTGCTCTTTTTAGGGCCACATGTCATACACCTTCTTTTCACCCACTTCTAGAATGCCTTCTCTTCCTTGGTTATTTTCCACCTTTTCCAGTCCTTTCATCTGGTCCATCCTCAGTGTTCCTTTGTTCTGCCAGTTTGGGATCTCAGTGTTGTCCTTCATGCCTCATATATATTTCCATAATGCTAACTGTGGGGATGGGGTGTTTCTGTAAAACCAGCAGCTGCTTATCCAGTGGTGTGTGTATATCTATATCAATAATATTTTTCTTATCATTGTACCATGTATAAAGGACCATCACTTATGGACTTCATGAGTAAAATGTGGGGATTTTTGCCCATCCCTACTGACCCATGATTCTTACAATCAGGGTCTTTCTCTTTTTCAAAATAGGGAATTGCAGACACCCATTGCACTGCCTCCAGTGTCTCCCAGCACATATTCTCCCCTTTTATTCTAGTGGAGCACGGGAGTCCTTGCCACTTCCAGTTCCCAGTCTCTAGAATGGTAGACCGTGGAGGTTTCCTCTGTTGTGGGATTTGTACAATAAAACAAACTTCATAGTCATATGTATCCACTCTATGTGAAGAGGGCTATCGTTATCCCATTTTGTATTAGGCAATACCATAACATGCTAAAATCCAAGGCACTTCTCCAAAATGTTTTTTTGCCTAGGTAGACTGCACTTGTTGATCAGGAAATACAAATTTTATATTTTATGCAGGACACTTCTACTGGATATTTTCTGCCCAGATGGACTGCTCTTGCTACACTCAGTAAAAGTTGAGGTGCTACTCTCGGATTTTTTTGACGGGCTGACTGCACTTGTTTACAAAATAATTTTCTTTTTATGCAAGGTGCTTCTAAAGTACACAAGTTTTAACAATAAAGAAAGATTAAGTATTCAAATCAACATTCAATAATCTAATAATGTATTTACATTTTAGAATTGATAGTGGTTACATAGACATGTACATATCAATCCGCATTAATTTACAAATTGTTTATTTATGGCTGAACAGAAAATGAAACAAAAAGTGAATAAGTAAAAAAAATATGGAATATGTTATGAGAAATATTTGCATAAGATTAGGAATGCTTAGGAAGATAATGATCAAAGACATAGAGATTTGCCACAGTTTTTATTAATTGTGGAACTAGTTGATTTTATTAACCCTTTAACAGTGACATGCTTTTTAAACTCCTTTCTGTGCATATCACTTAGTTACACTCAAAATTTAATTAAACCACTTTACTTTTAATGTATTTTAATGAAATTATTATTATTAACTATGTTATAGTTCAAAGTTTTATATTATCTTTGTTTTGATTCTTTTATTTCAAAGAAGCATTGAAAGCAATAATGAAATCTCTCAATTTTGTATCATGTGAAGCATGAGCTATGAACAGTGTCGAAATTTGCTGAATTATAGCTTGAAACTTAGGAGGTAGTTATGCTCATGTAACTCTTAGATGAGAACACAGTTTACTTGCTGTGAGACATGTTTCAAAGTTCTTTGATTGAATGTAGTTGAAACTAAAAATGTATTTTGTCAACCCTTGACAGGTGCCACACCAACCTTCTATATTTACTGTTGAGCTTTAGAATTTACATGTACTTTCAACATGTATGTGTTTATAATCATTAGAAAGAAGCTCATTTTACACTATAATCCAACAATCTTTATTTTGAAGTTGGTGCCGTGTTGTCATCCTCGAGTAGAATGTTACTGCTTGTACTATTGTTGGCTGCTTTGATCCCAATAGCACTTCAGTTGTTTCTTATCTAAATATGTTATAATTAGAGAGACAGTCAAATTTTATTTAGGTTTTATTTCATATTTTAGTAAATTATGCATTATTTATGTTTTAAAATTAATATTTGAAAGGTTTAATAAACTTTATTAAATAACCAAAGCTTACCCTCACTCTTCAAGGCTTATATTACCAAGCATGTATAAAAAGATTTTGCCAGAAGCTAATGTAAAAACGTGAAATTACTCGTATGACCCAAAGAAGATATTTTAAGATTATTCAATGAAGGGTTAAAAAGTATTTACATACTTCTGTTTCTTAATTTTAAGCACTTTGTTGCACTGTGCATTGATGATAGTAGCTAAAGTTTGTGATATAGTAAAGAAAATGGAAAATAAAATTTAAACATTTCCATTTAAAAAACTTTTGATATTCATTTAGGAGGTTCTAGATATTATGTGAATGATATTAACATTTTTATATTTAACATGAAAATCACTTTGCAAGTGAACTATTCAGAATCTAATTGCAAATAATTACATTAAAGAACAAATATTTATTAGAAATAGTAGAAAAATTCTAGAATTAAATATTTTATTATTTCAAACTACATTCTTTTACGAAAGTCCTTGTCAAGTTTTAAATAGTTTTATTCACTGGTTTTATCACTGGAACAAAATTTAATGAGAGTTATGTAACATGTTTAAGTCTGAAGAATGTCATCCTTATAGTGTTATTGAGGTTTCTTTGACTTTTTCTTCTGTTAATGTCTGTGGAACTGCTTTTGGTTTGGAAGGGAAATTACTCATTATGTTGTTCTTATTTTTGGAATGTTGAATATTTCCAGTAATTCTTTATCTTTTAATGAATTAGACAGAAATTCTTCTTGTGGTCTTGGACTTAGGATTAGTTGCTGTTGATTGGAGTTGCAATTTGATTCTGTTATTACTTTCCTACAGAGGTCTTCAAAGTTAGTTTTGTTGGGAAGAGTTACTGTGTAGTTAAGTCCTTTATTTAGACTTATATTAAAAGTAGCAAAATCAGAGAATTCTTCTTGATAAAATCAACAATCCCACAACTAACAACTAGCAAGGCACATCTCTATGTGTTGTTGATTGTTATTTCCCTAGACAACTAGTCTTATGCAAATATTTTGCATAACATATTTCACATTTTTTATATTTACTTACGTTTTGTTTGTTCATTCATAAATAAATAATCTGTCAATTTATGTGGATTGATACACACACACACACACACACCAAAGTAACCACTATCAATTATAAAATATAAATACATTGTTATATTGTTGAAAGTTGATATAAATACTGAAACATTCTTTATCATTACAACTTGTGTACTTAACCCATTTACTGCAGCTGGAACGTATATTTTCCTGTACTCCTACCCCCTTACACTGTGACTGGGACAAATGTTTCCCATCCTCAATGCTGTTTATGCTTTCCTCTGCTCAATTTAGGTTCATTATCTTGATTGTCATCACTAGAAAGAGAGTTAGCATCCTCTTGTCTCATCATCACGCATTTGAACACCACTTGACCCACTTTCACTATTTTCTAAGCTATCTGAATCAAGCACATTATGCATATTTATATAGTACTTAGAGTTACTACTTGCCATTCTAGTGATACAAGCATGTCGGCACACAGTTGTCATACATTCCGCTTAGACATCTTGTTAGTTACTGAAGGGCTGAATGAAAAACATTGAGGGAAACCTTATATGTCAACATTAAGTGGGATGCCAATAAATACTTTCCAACTTGCTTTACTCCCATATATCATGCTTGGCAATTTTGAATGACAATGGGAAACATTTGTCCTAGTTGCAGTTTGAGGGGGTGGGAGCACTGGGAAATATATGTCCCAGCTGCAGTGAAAGGGTTAAGAATGATCACATCAGTAATTGAAATGTTGTACCTGTTCTATGAAATAATCTTCCTTACTGTAAAAGCTGTAACTTGTAATAGAATAATTTCTTTGTTATTGTTAGATAGTTGTTGCCATTAACCAACAATCTTTTTTTTTATATATAGAATATAACCAATACAAGCTTCAAGAGACCTTTGACAATGAATGGCATTTCTGTAAGGTTTGTTTGTGTGAGAAACAAGGTAGAGAGTGTATGACTTTCTTTACATGTAAACACATCTTTTGTAAAGATTGCATCAGAAGCTTTTTTGAGATTCAAATTCAAGATGGAAAAGTGCGGTTTTTATCTTGTCCAGAAGATGGTTGTTTATCACAGGCACTTCCTACTCAGGTAAGTTGTTGTTGATATAAGATTATACTATTTAATTGGAATGTTGTTGTTTAGAAAAGTCTTATTAATTTGAGTTTTCATTGTGTAATTATGTGTTTGGCTAATATCAATTTTTACACTTTTTTTTCATAATAATACAATTTGTTTTGTCTAAAACATTTCCTTCAGGTGAAAGATCTTGTATCTCCAGAACTGTACTCCCACTATGACAGAATCTTATTGAACTCCACTTTAGAGAGCATGTCAGATATTATCTACTGCCCAAGGCAATATTGTCAGTTTCCTGTCATGTTAGAAGCTGACTGTAACATGGCTACGTGTCCGAGCTGCTCCTTTGTGTTTTGTGTTTACTGCAAAATGGTGTACCATGGTATATCACCTTGCCAGCTTCGATTAGGTTAGCCATATTTTAATTTGTATTTTAAGTATCAGTTATTTTAAGTATTGCATTTTCTCTATAAATTCAAAACTGAATTAAACTTTAATAATGACATCCAAATGTAAACGAAAATTACAAGTAAAGAACTATGCAATCTTTTGAAAACACTGAAAAATTTAACCTTGAATTAAAATAAACAACTTTTCTCTTAACCCTATCAAAATGCTATACAAAGATTTTTAGTAGGTTGCATAACTCTCATAAAATTTCTTTACAAAAATGAAATCTAGTGGATGAAATTGTTTGATATTTGATAATAACTTTCTTAGAAGTATGTAGTTTCAGAAAAATCAAATATATAATTTTGATTTTTTTCTAATATTTCTAATACAAATTCGTTATTTAATGTTGTTATTTGCACTCACATTCTGAATAGTTTGCCTGCAAGGTGATATTCATTTTGAGTATAAAGATACAATTTATTAAATTACAGTGTTCACATTTTATTTGCATAATCTCTAGAATCTTCTGAATGAATATCAAAAGTTTTTTAAGATAAATATTAATATTTTCTATTTTCTCTACTATATTACTAACTCTAGCTAGTAATGTGCAATGAAATGTTTAAGATTAAGAAATGGAAATATGTCGTATCTTGTATGAAGGAGACCCTTTGCCAAGGCTAGTGCCAAATGCATCAAGCACATAATAGTGTCATGTACAGGTGTATTGTATTGTTTTCTATCTACTTTTATTAATATTGTTATTTTTAAAATTCTTCATTCAGTTTCTATGCAGTTTTGGCATAAATATGTGGTCTGGAAAACTTGAAATTGTTGTCTTTATGCTTTTGTTCTCTATAGCAGATAATATCTACTCTGCTCGAGATATATTGTAGATGTAGCACAACCATATTAAAAGGGTCAATGACTGTATTATCCTTTGCTGGCCAAGTGCTGACAAATTCTACAAGGAAATGACTAATCATGTGATCAAACTATTGTGAAAACTAAAAATTACAAGGTTTCTTGCAAGATCTTAACCTTGGTTCTCTCTCAGTTCTACTTGGTTTTCATCAAGATTAGTTCTACCGAGATCCATCTTTAGAAAAAAAAAGCTGAAGTTCTATTCACAGATTCAGAAGAGGAAAGTACACACTTTTTGTTGTTGTTGCATTTATAATGAAGATTTTTTACACTCTTCTTAAAACATGTTAAATCTGTTTACTTCTCACACAGCTTAAAACTCAATAAAGTTTTCAAATTCAAATTACTCTGTAAATGTCCTATTCGATCCTCTAGTTATTAAATGGACTTATCTGAGATTTTGTAGGTAGGAAGAAGAAATGTTGGTTCCATGATTAGGATCCAAAACTTAGTTATTGCAGCACTTGTTGGTTTTGTAATTTGGGCCAGGCTTAACCCTTTTGCTATAGGCAGGTCAAAGTTTGCATGTCATGACTTTTTAAAGAGTTACATTCAAAATTTAATTAAACTACTTTAATGTCATTGTATATGAATAAACTTGACATCAAAACATAGTTAATGAATAAAATTTTAATGATGAAACTTTGTTGAATGGATAGCAACTGCCTGTTGTATAAACACATGCAGAGGATGATGTTTCGATAGTCTTCCCGCCTTTCAGGTCAGCGTCTGTATGATATAGTGAGTCTTTACAGTACTCTGGTGGATTGTGGAGAGCATGTTTTGATTGGCTGATTTATCCTTGTTTCTGATTGGAAAATATATTTCTTGTAGATTCAACCAATGGTAGCCACAGGCTACTCGCCTCTAATAGGGATAAACCAACCAATCATAACATGCTCTCCACAATCCACCAGAGTACTGTAAAGACTCACCACACTATACAGACGCTGACCTGAAAGGTGGGATAACTATCGAAACATCACCCTCTATGCGTGTTTCTACAATAGGTAGTTGCCGTCCATTCAACAAAGTTTCATCATTAATACTCTGCCAAAACAATCTATCAAGAAAATATTTAAAAAATCCTCAATCTCTGCTATTTAAGAGAATAGCAACATTTGCTCTGTAGGTTCTCACTCTTCTCTAATTTATTTACCACCCCTCTGAGAATTACAGAATTTAATGTAAATTACTTGTTATAATATAATTATTTCTCAGGCAAAGCATAATTTTTGTAGCCTTCAATCTTATTTGTGTATGGAGTCATAAACTAGAAAATCAGACCCTCCTACCACATCCTCTCTTTCACAAGTTGCCAATACTTCTCCCTGGCATTTTATACTATATTATTTATAACCAATAGAAGGCCAAAGTTTCAATCTATCAATGATATATTCTATTATGTTATTTTCTGTAAAGATAATTGTCTATTTCCTGGTTCAATTTAAATTTGTTCTCACAGGAATCGCATCATCTACCTTAATTGAATTTTTAAAGGCTCTTATTGCATAGTTAGAAAGCCAGAAAAATTTTGATATTTAGTGGACATTGTTTACTTTTTATGTTATTATTCAGTGTTCTTTGGAGTATTATTTAATTAAACAACAAATTATTTAAGTTAGTAGTATCACTATTATAGAAATAGGCGTAAATTTCATCGACAATTGACATAAGAAGAAAAAAGAAGACCCAGGTAAGTACTATATTTCCTGTTTTTCCTGTGTATTTTTTAGTTATTATTATAAAAGTAACTGAAATGTAAAATTTAGAAACTTATTAGGTTAGATAAGATTAGATAATGTATAAAAAGTAATAATAATAAATATTCTTGATGAGGTATGCTCACATGTATCTGGTGCATTACATAATTCTATGTGGTTATATGAGCTACACCTTTGCTGAGATATTTACAACTTGTGTGGTGGGATATATAGTTAAACACAGTTCAAAGGGCAATAGAATAATAAAATCTAAGTAGAAGCAGATGTATAATGTTACAAGCTTTGAGCTATTTAGGATAAGCAACAGTAGTTTCGTGTTACAATTTGCAATCATTCTTAAAAGAAGAAAAAGTAATTTAGATTTATTTCATATTTTTTTTATGATAGTTCTGAGTTCAGTCAAATTCACAGAATGCATATAAGTTAGGATAGAGAAAATAACAGACAAAGTATAAAGTTTTACTGAAAAAGAAATGTTTAATATTTATTTAGAATGTTTTAGAGATTACACAAATGAAATTTGACAATTTCCAGGTGAATGAAAGTATTTTTAATCTTAATATGAAAATCACTTTGCACTTGGAGCAGTTAACACTTTGACTCCATATATTTATGGAGAAATTTGTAGTTGTGATACTTCATTAAAATGTAAGATTTTGTGTGTACAAAAGCCTTGTAACATTTACCAAAAGCTTTCACAATTTCATGAAGATATACAAATGCATTAAAAGAGTTTTAATGTGAAAACTCTAAAGGTTAAGTTGTGTTTGGGAACTTGGTCAAATTGACCAAGCCCATAGCAAGAGAGTTTTGTATGTTGAAGAGTTATCAGCTATGTAGGTTTAATACAAGTTATAATTTTTTAGTTTGAAGTGCAAAGTTAGTTTATGTTTTGTTTTTCTGCTTACAGTGTTACCATGTTTTTACTTGTTGACTTAGTACAGAGGCACTGTGTGTTGGTTATAGCTATAGTGTTTAGTTTTAACTACAGTTATGTAATTGCAAATACAGAATTATCACTAAGTTAGTTTACTTTAATTCTAGTATATTTTCAGTCACGAGAAAGAAAGAGAGACAGGGCCTAATCTTTTAGTTTGATCTATCTCTGAGTTTACCACCTAAAGTTTAGTTGTGTGCAACATTATGGTGGATGAATCTGAATGTGGGGTCAATGGCCAACAGAACTGATATCTGCAAGCTGTACCAGATTCTGCCACATATACTAGGTAGATTAAAAGATCAAGACCAACAAACAGTGAAGGCACTTCTTCACACACTGATAATAAAGGGTAGAAACAACAATGAGATGTATAGTTACTGGTTACAAGCAGAACAAGATCCTACTCCAGGCAGGCTTCTCGATGGTAGGTATCTTAATACCCCATTGGCCAGCATGCTTCCACCTGAAGAATGGCAGCCCCATTCTAATTAATTACTGGCCCAACATCACTTGCCTGCCTTATAAAGGCAGACAGGACTAGGGATAGAAATTCTGAACTGTGAGTGGTTAATGTATTGTCTATAGACAATGATACATTAAATAACAAATAGCACCTACACTGGTGCTTGTAGGAGTAATGGAAATTGTGTACTCAATGGAAGATCTTGATTGTTCACAAGGAGAAATAAAGTAACAGGGAAACCAAAACCTAAACATTGAGGGAGTGAACAAGTCATAAAGGTCAAGTTTTTTGGCATAATTTGCACCCTCAAACATCTCTCCACCATTGCTTAAGCAAAGTCAAAGTAACTTCTGCAAAAAATACACTACATACTGGTGGAATAATAATTCTGATAATACCTGGAAAGCATGTAGTTGAGCTCAAATTGAGTTCATGAGAATAAGGCACGATCCATCCTGGGCAAAGTATGCAAGAATTGTGCAGGATAAAGCCTTTGCTCTGTACAGCTGAGTAGCTTTTAAAGATTATATAAAATGGAATGAACTAAACATCAAGGAAAATCTTTCAAGCAATCATTCTGGTGTTCCACAAGTTTATAGTTGGAACAGGAACAAAAATGTGGCAACGTCAGTCATTTACAATAACGGTTATACTTCACTTTCTACAGAGTAAGACCACTGCAAGACATTTATTCACAGAAAGATTTACGATATATGTAGGTGGGTCAGTGTGCATGTCAGAACTTTTTCGCAAAGTTTATTAAAAATTTAAATAACTATTCTATTGTCATTATGTGTAAATAAACATGGCATCAAAATGTAGTTTGTAATTCCTATGTTTATAGTATCTAAGTTTTAACTTCTTAATTTCAAAAGAAAATATTTAAATAATTTCTTAAGCTACATATCTCTGTATCAAGTGATGGGTCTTGCACTTTGAACACTCCCATTTTATTCATACCTTTT